CGTCCGAATTTCGATTCGGAACGAAACGAATCGCACATGTCTACTTTGTAATATCAACACTTTGTGAAGCGGCCTATGTATGGTGGAATGTATCCCATGTCGGTTGTATTTCTGTTGATTTGGGGATTCTTGTATGTTGCTCATCTTTTTGTTAAAACAATAAAAAAAATGTAAATGGTAAAAAAAAATAGCACCGTATGGGCAGCGGCGCGGGGGATTCAGAAGGGGTTGAGCGGTAACAGGGCCAGCTGATTATGTATTCCTCTCTCTCTGGTGATGTCATTGTAGTTCTGATTGTGTCTCTGAGGACACTTTGCGGCTGTGTCATAGTGGAGCAGATTGAGTTCCTGAGACATGTTCTCAATAGATTCTTATTAAACTTGTATAGATGAACTTCAACAAAGTTACGGAGATCCACCTATTTGCGGTTTTGGAGTGTGTAGGACTTTCAGATCTGTGGTACAATAGGTGAAGATGCATACAATCCAAAGATAGGTCCTAGGCCTTTCAGTGGAGATTAGTCAAAGCAACAGCATTTTATGGACTAGGTTTTGATGGGGCTCAGTCCACCTTGATAAAGACAGACCGAGCTCCATCAAAACGTTGACATACATGGGACGGTTTAAGAGAAGATTCAGGTAGGTTGGGCCATAGTCAGTATCTCAGGTAACATGAGATGGACTGAGGAGGGAGACATCTCCAGGTTAGTTCTTCAGTATCATAGCTTCTATGTATTTTAAGAAGCATATGCGGGTGGAAGCGTTGGCTAGAGCAGTGGTTCTCAACCTGTGTAACCTCACATGTGTACTTTGTCATTAAGTTGCGACCCAAGTCGCACTGCAATGGAACGCAAGGCGTTGTGGTACTGCACGTTCCGGTGAGGGCGATTGAACTGTGGGCGGGAGTTGCATTTGGGGTGCCACATATTCAAATTAATGGCAATGCAGCGCACCTCCCGCACCCAGGACCGGATTTACTTTCTCTGCTGCCCCAAGGCCAGGTTCCTCAATGCGCGCCCCTACCCGCCAACCCCTCCCCCCCTTCCCATGCAGAATGGCAGACCTGCAGGCTGCATACAAGTAATTGCCGAGATCACTTGTACAAAACAAGCGGCGGCTTCCCCGTTGTACGTTTACCTCTGCTTGCCCAAATCAGGGCTAAATGTATAAAACAACTACCTGCCAGGCAGCCGGAATTGCATGTCTCGGGCATCGGGAGATAGGAATTCCACACCCCTGTTGCCCCTCTACTCCCTGCTGCGCCAAGGCCGGGCCTTGGTTGGCCTTGTGGGAAATCCGGCCCTGCCCGCACCAGAACACATAGTAGGTGTGATTGCGTGGTATAGTGCATTAATGACACAGGACTGTTCAATTAACGCACTGTACTAGTGTGAAGGGCCTTTAGAAACACTGACACACACACAACCACAGACACACACACAACCACAGACACAATCACGCACACACATACACACTCCAAAAGAGAAAAGTTGTTGTTTTTTTTAAGATCCACCCAGTCTCCCTATCTTATGGGTACTGCAATGGATCCTCAGCCTGGGGTACAGTGTGGGCTGCTGTGCTGTGATGGAGCTCCATCCATACATGCATTGCTTGTACAACTCCATTGCACACCCTGTAGAGGTGCCGTGAGCCAGAATGTGACGTCATTCCGCTCCCGGCACCTCTATAGGATATGGGAGGGAGCTGTAAGCAATGCATGTATGGATGCCGCTCCTTCACGGCCATAGCTCCAGCCCACCCCACCTCAAGCTGACACTCAGGGCAAGGCAGCATATTTTGAATGGCTGCTTGGCGTAAGAACTGACAGTGCTGCGCTAGGAGGAGGCTGAAGAGCCTCTCACCTAGAAAAGTAAAGGGTATGTGGCGAACCCACTGAACACGGGTTCACAACCCACTTTTGGGTCACGACCCACCAGTTGAGAACCAAGGGGCTATAGAGATATCATGGTCCATGATGGAAGCTCTGTAGAAAAGAAAGAGAGCAGCAGACAAGAGGGAAATAAAAAGAAGGATGACATGGGGTGGTAATGAAGGTGTGAGAACAGAGGAAAGAGGGGGTAGAAGACATAGGAGTTCTCCATGGGCTCCTCACCAAAATGGGACCTTTATAAAGAGGTAAAGCATTCAGGCGGAAGTGAGGCATGGCCATATTGAATCCATGGGGTCCACATAGTAAGGAATCTCTGATGGGTGTCCACAGGTATACTAGTAATTTTTTAATTTACGAAGAATGAATCTATACATTGGCTGACCTCCGCAAATTGTGTAGATTGCTTCTTCAAGCTGTGGCTGCTAATAGTATATAAGTAGTTAGTTTGAACTGAGGTTTGGTCTCTTGGGACGGGGCAGTTAAAAAAGATTTGTAGAAGTTTAAATACTTTGGCCCAGAATCTGTTCAACATGGGGCAGGACCAGGAGTTATAAATGTTTAACCCACTATGTGTAGGATTATGTGATACAGTGTATGTGTCCTGTGGGTGCATGTGGGGGGGCGGGTGACAGCATCCAAAATAGTTTTTGTTGGGGAGGGGAGGGCATAAGGTAGTTGGCCTTTGGGAGATAAAAAATCTAAATCCGGCCCTGGACGCACCTTATACAACTACTCACACACTTGTGTAAACAGGAGGTCAGGGGAGTTGATTGAGGAGATGTACATACGGAGAGAACTGCTTTCACTGTTTGCAGAATTCTTTTCCCATGATGCCGTCATAAAGAGACTTGTAATGAGGCAGTTATCCAGTAATGGTCAGGCGTGGAAGTGGAAAAACATTCTCGCCGATTTATCAATGATAACGGAAAATTCCTTTCTCTTTGTACTTTTAAAACATACTAAAAAAAAATAGTTTGTGGAAAAACGTGAAGTGGAACTTTACACAAAAAATTAAAGATGTGAGAACAGGCCGACTTTTTACTGCAGAGGAAACGTTGTACTACCACTTTATAGTCTTCACCGTCTTGTCATTGGGAACTACTGCCTCCTCCCAGTTTTGATCCATCTTGTTATTAGGAACTTGTGCCGCTTCACAGTCTCGCTCCATCTTGTCATAGGGAACTATACTGCCAATTTACAGTCTTGATCCATCTTGTCATTGGGAACCACTGCCTTTTCAAAGTCTTGATCCATCTTGTCATTGGGAACCACTGCCTTTTCAAAGTCTTGATCCATCTTGTCATTGGGAACCACTGCCTTTTCCCAGTTTTCATCCATCTTGTCATTAGGAACTACGGCCTTTTCGCAGTCTTAAAGGAGAACTATGAAATGAGTGATTTCCACTCACCTCATAGTTCTAGCCGACCTGTGACAATGAGACTGTCACAGGTCGGCTCAGTAGATCGGGAGGTCAGCGAACACATACCAGGTTCGCTCACCTCTCGATCCTGTCACGGCTCTCTGCCGTGACAGGGGGAGGGCTGGATTCCCCTCTCCCCGCTCCGATCTGCCAGCGCTGACTGGCAGAACGGACGGGGGAGGGGGCGGGTACAGCTGGCTCTGCCTCTAGATAGGCAGAGCCAGCTGTCACTCATGCAGCTGGGCGGATCCCGTCATCTACGTCGGGATCCGCTCCGGCTGCGGCGTCTCAGTATGCCGCGAGCTGTAGCTCGCGGTATACTGAGCTTAGGGTAAAGGGAGGACGCTAGTTTGTGTCCTCCCGTTACCCTAAGGAGAACTATGGGGAAAAGCCCTGACCCCATAGTTCTCCTTTAATCATTTTGGCATTGGAAAGTATTATTATTATTATACAGGATTTATATGGCACCAACAGTTTGTGCAGCGCTTTACAATATGAGGAAGACATTACAATCACAATACAATTCAAGACAAGATGGTAAGGAGGCCCCTCCCCTGAGGGCTTACAATCTAAAAGGGAGGGGCAAGTGATACATGAGGAGGGAGCTGTGTGGGGATGAATTGTTTGAGAAAGTTCTAGTTCAGTGGTTAGGTTGAGGTGGGATAGGCTTCCCTGGAGAGAGGAGTCTTAAGGGAACGCCTTATTGGCAGAGGGGGGTGGAGGATGGAAGCCAGTGCAGGGATTGGCAGAGGGGGGTTGCAGACACTGAACGATTGGTTAGGTGAATGAGTCTGGCATGTGCATTCATGATAGACTGAAGGGGGGAGGAGCCTGTGTTGTGGAAGGCCAATAAGGAGGCAGTTACAATAGTCAAGACGAGAGATAACAAGCGAGTGGATGAGTAATTTTGCAGTTTCATTGGTGAGGAAGGGGCGTATTTTGGAGATGTTATGAAGGTGAAGGCGGCAGGATTTGCATAGTGATTGGATGTGGGGAAGAAAGGTGAGGTCTGAGTCAAGGATGACACCTAGCACCTTGGCATGGGGGGAGGGTTGGATAGTTGTGTTAACAATCTCAAGGGAAAAGTTGGGAGAAGGTGCACGGGGTGGAGGAAATATCAAGAGCTCAGTTTTGGAAAGGTTGAGTTTTAAGAAGTGTTGCGACATCCAGACGGATATGTCAATTAGTAGATTAGTGGCACGCAAGTACTGCCTCTTTGCAATCTTGATACATCTTGTCATTAGGAACTACTGTCTCTTCGCAGTCTTGACCATTTTGTCATTAAAAACTCGTGCAGCTTCACAGTCTGGCTCCATCTTGTTATTCCGAACTACTGCCTGTTCACAATGACAGATCCGAGCTGCAGTTGCTGCTTGTCCAACATTGCCGCCATCTCTGCCACCGCTTCCCCCTGGTCCCACAATGTTCCTCTTCACCCACTGGATGGCCACAGACAATATTACTCCTCCCCAATCTTCATTCAAGTATACAGGGAAAGTAGACAGAGTTGAGCTGTAAGATATGTTCATCCATCCTTCCACACACTATATCTTCTAATAACCAAGAGTGCAAAATATTTCTTCCTATAGGCACTGTTACATTCCAAATCACATTATGGACATTAGGCTGTAACAAATGTTTATGTGTATCCTTCCAAGCATATTGTAATGTTCCTTAATCTCCTTTACAGATGTCCCCAATCCTACAGCTAAACATTGGTGGTGATATCTACACCACAACGCTGGGAACTCTTAAGAGGTACCAGGGTTCCAAGCTGTTTGAGATGTTCAACGGGCAGCCCAAACTCCGCACCGACTCGGATGGTAGGTACTTTATTGACCGGGATGGGAAATACTTCAAATACATCTTGGAGTATCTTCGAAATGGCCAAGTCCCCAACCAGTGCATCCAAGAGGTCTACAAGGAGGCCCTGTTCTACGAGATCGAGCCCCTGGTAAAGAAGCTGGAAGAGACCCCTCAGATCTTTGGGGAACATGTGGGAAGGAAGCAGTTCTTGGCACGAGTACCCAACTACTATGAGAACATCGAGGTGATGATTCGCATCGCTAGGGCGGAGGTGGTTGCATCGCGTTACTCCAACGTCTTTGTGTGTATCATAAGGACTGAAGAAGATGCGTCCAAGTGTCAGGATGCCCTAAACACGCTTGATATGGACAAAGAATCCGTGGTCAAGTTTGGGCCGTGGAAGGCATCTCCCGGCATCACGGACCTCCTGGATTGTATTAAGGTGGACATTGAAGACAAGGGCCATAAAGTATCGTATATGGCCCATGTTGCAGACAAAGGATTTCGGTTTAAGACGTACGACTTTTTTTACAAGTTCGTTTTTACATGGTGGTAAAAAAAAATGATATAGAAATGCATCTGCGGCACTGGAGAAGAGACTTCCTGATAACGAGGAGGCCCAACTATACTCTGTTTACCAATGGATCAAACGCTACTTAGTTCCACAACATGCTAGCCTCTCGAACAGGAAACACACAAGGATCACTTGAGAGTTTAATCTCCACTTTAAGGAATAAACTAACATTATGCCAAACATGAATGAACTCATGCGAAAATCAGGAGCCGAGAAGGCTAACCTATGAGAAGGCCGGTTTAGTGAAAGAGTCGGGAACATTAAGCTTTTATTGACATCAAGAAGAGAAAGTTCCAAAAGTTTGGCTCCAGTTGTAATTGTTCAGACACATTTTGTTATCTGGCCCTGGGATTCGTCCAGCTTTGTATTATGGTTCTACAAATTATACTGGCCAATCAGAAGTCAGCTTTTTTTTTCTCATTTGGCAACATTCCCTTCCAAATACTCAAAGCTGCTTGAGGTCCACTAGTTCCTCGTGTTTATTTAGGCTCATCCTGTTCACATATTTATCTGCTTTTTCTTTGCAGTTCAAGGAACACTCCAGAAAATTATAAACTTGCTTCATCCTAGAATTCTTCTTCGGCAACTGGCAACTTTTGCTGAATCCTTGTGGTTGCTGGTATTTTCTCAAATGGCCCCGGATCTGAGCCGGTGAAAAAAGTAGGCCAAGCGTTCTTTGGCTTTTACCAGTATCAGGAAGTCAGGTAGCGAGTCATTACACACCGCCCAGCTTCCTGGTTGGCTGGGAAACCGGCTCCATGCTCCCTCGTCACCATGAAGCATAGAGCTGGCTTCCCGTCCAATCAGGAAGCCGGGGGGGGGGGGGGGTATTGTCATTGGGAACTACTGCCTCCTCCCAGTTTTGATCCATCCTGGTGACGAGGGAGCATGGAGCCGGCTTCTCAGCCGATCGGGAAGCCAGGCATCGTGTAATGACTCGCCGCCTGGCTTCCTGATTTGTGGGGAAGCTGGCCAATCAGGAAGCCGGGCAGCGAGTCATTACCCGCCCCTCGGCTCCTTGATTGGCCGGAAAGCCTGCTCCATGCTTCCTCGTCGCCTGGTGATGAGGAAGCATGGAAATTACACGCCACCCGGTTTCCTTAATGGGACTTCCGGTATCGGACGAGTCATTGTTCTGTAATGCATGAGGGGAACTGGGAGGGCTGATTAGACATCTTGAGATAGTGTGCACAGGACACAGGGCAGCTCTAAATTTCTGTCCAGATTAATGTGTATTTTCCTGAAAACCTATAGCTTGTATTTCGGAAGCGCACACCGTACCCACCGCCTGGTGCCAGGATGAAACCTCCTTTGGCAAAATCAGCCACGCAAAAACATAGCACATCCACACGCAGGACTCCATTTTAAAAGCTCTGTTGCGTAAGCATGGCAGTACAAAACAGTCAGGCTCCCATTTCATATAGAAACGTGTCTAGTCCTTTGTCCTGCTAGTCAAAAACATAACAAAATGCATTTGATTGGCCAAAAGGGAAAGGGGAGCAGATAAGAGAAGTCCATTTTTAGAGTGGACATACACTTTAAATGGAATCAAATTTTGGGAGGGATCACCCTTTAACCTTCCAGATTGGAAGGTCCCAATGTATTGTTCATGGCTGGATAACTGGGGGGCAGTGGCGTCACAAGGGGGGTGCGGCCCGCACCCGGGTGCCACCATTGGAGGGGTGAAACCAAAATGACTGACAGTCATTTTGGTGTCACCCCCTATGAAAAGTTGGGCGCTCGCTCATGGACCGAGAGCCCAACAGAGTCAGGAGAGAGGAGGGGACCCGGCGGCATACCTCATCCAGTCGGGTGAACGTCTCCTCCTTTCTCTGCCGGTGTCCATCACCAAGATGGCCACCGGCAGGCATCAATAAGATGACCGCGCATGCGCCATGACGTCATGGCGGGGTGTCACCCGGTCTCCGCTCCGGATGTCCCTCAGCTTTGGGACGCCCCTTGTGGGGGTCATCTAACACACTGCCCTTTAATACATCTCAGGGAGGCCAGCTACTTGAGCTCATTGCTAAGGTTCCCAGCTCTGCTCTGCTTTCCAGGGAGTCCCACTCGTTTTGCTGCATTCTTTGTAATGGAACTTCAAAATTCCAACAGAGTGAGAGATGCAAAAAGACATCAAGAAATGTCATACCTTGAAATCTCTATTTTCTTTGCAATGATCATTTACATTGGAAACAGATGTATTGTTTGTACTTACCTCAATGTGATATAGTTTTGATGTCAATGTGGGGGGTGCAGAAAATGTTAAAGCTGAACTCCAGCCACAAAATATTTAATTTAAATCTACATCTACTTTTTGTGTACCCTAGGCCTTTGCAAGGCTAGTAATTAGTGACATCATCACTGTGCTATACATAACGTGACCAGCAGACCCCTACCACTACAGGCTGCTTGGGGGAAACTGCAAAAAAGGAGAGGATACAAGACCAGGAGAGAGAGAGCAGCAGTGATCGGTCTTTATTACAGGAGGGGGTGGAGACAAGACCAGTCACCCTGCAGAAGGAGACATTGAAGCAGTGACCGGTCTTTATTACAGAAGGAGGGCGGAGGCAAGACCAGTCACCCTGCACAAGGAGAAAGAACAGCAGTGACCGGTCCTTATTACAGGAAGCTCCAAGTCTCACACTGGATTACTGCCCAGATCTGGAAGAAATACACAAAGCTCACCAAGATTCAAGGAAGATAACACATGACTCTTTAGTTAGACCAGCCATTCTCAACCAGGGTTCTGTGGAACCCTAGGATTCCTCCAGAGGTTGCTTGGGGGTCCTTGAGCTGTGGCTGATTGACCTTACATCTGGATAGTTCCCGAGCCGACATCACTTGGCATAGCCAGCTGTATTACACCAATGATTTTTTTTAGCTATCTCTAAGGGGGCATTTGTCCCACTGACCTCTTAAGGGGCATTCTTCCCACTGGCCACCAATGTAAGGGGCATTCTTCCCACTGGCCACCAATGTAAGGAGCATTCTTCCCACTGACCACCAATGTAAGGAGCATTCTTCCCACTGACCACCAATGTAAGGAACATTATTTCCACTGACCACCAATGTAAGGAGCATTCATCCCACTGACCACCAATGTAAGGGGCATTCTTCCCACTGACCACCAATGTAAGGAGCATTCTTCCCACTGACCACCAATGTAAGAAGCATTCTTCCCACTGACCACCAATGTAAGGAGCATTCTTCCCACTGACAACCAATGTAAGGAACATTATTTCCACTGACCACCAATGTAAGGAGCATTCATCCCACTGACCACCAATGTAAGGGGCATTCTTCCCACTGACCACCAATGTAAGGAGCATTCTTCCCACTGACCCCAATGTAAGGGGCATTCTTCCCACTGACCACCAATGTAAGGGGCATTCTTCCCACTGACCCCAATGTAAGGGGCATTCTTCCCACTGACCACCAATGTAAGGGGCATTCTTCCTACTGACCCCCAATGTAAGGGGCATTCTTCCCACTGACCACCAATGTAAGGGGCATTCTTCCTACTGACCCCCAATGTAAGGAGCATTCTTCCCACTGACCACCAATGTAAGGAACATTCTTCCCACTGACCCCCAATGTAAGGAACATTCTTCCCACTGACCCACAGGGGTCCCCTGAGATCTGAACATTATTTCAAGGGTTCCTTTGGGGTGAAAAAGGCTGATTTGGACAATATTTGTTCGGAGTTCAGCTTTAATCGTGTCATATCAATCTACCTCACCGGCTCTGTACCACCCATGAACACTGTATATAGTTTATAAGGTTTATACATTACAATGTACGTGTCATGTATGAAATATTTTTTGGTTTCAATGAAAAGAACTCTTATCACAGATATTTGGCAGGGATAATAAACTACTTTGGAACTCTTCCTCCTGAGACGGCGCTTTTACTTTCTTCATTATGTTTTTAAACCGTATATTTTGACTGCTTTAGTATCACAGTAATAGGATACGACATCATAACCCAACAATACTTCCCCAACACACAATCCAGCTGGTTGGCACAAGCAACCGTTTTTCTGGTACACACACTAAATTGCCAAAAGTATTGGGACGCCGGCCTTTCCACGCACATGAACTTTAATGGCATCCCAGTCTTAGTCCGTAGGGTTCAGTATTGGGTTGGCTCCGCCATTTGCAGCTATAACAGCTTCAACTCTTCTGGGAAGGCGTCCACAAGGTTTAGGAGTGTGTCTATGGGAATGTTGGACCATTTGTGAGGTCAGGTACTGATGTTGGGGGAGAAGGCCTGGCAAAATTATCGGAGCTGCCAACTTGGGACATATGGAGAAGTGAATAAACTGAGAACAAGCATGCCTTGGAGGTGGCCCCATCCTTCTTATAGTGGCTGGGCCATGAGGGAAGTATGATGGCTGCCATTGATGGTCTACCTTTGAATCACAGACTACAGAACAAGTATCCCTTGGCAGTAGCCCAATCCTTCTTAAGTGGCTCAGTCATTAGGGACGTATGATGACTGCTATCGCTGGTTTACTTTTGAATCACAGACTACAGAACAAGCATGCCTTGGAGGAAGCCCCATCTTCCTTAAAGTGGCGCAGTCATCAGGGACGTATGATGGCCACCATTGCTGGTCTACCTTTGAATCACAGACTACAGATCAAGCATGCTGTGAAGGTAGCCCCATCCTCCTTAAAGTGGGTCAGTCATAAGGGAAGTATGATGGCTGCCATTGCTGGTCTACCTTTGAATCACAGGCTTCAGAACATACATGCCTTGGTGGTAGCCTCATCCTCCTTAAAGTGGCTTAGTCATTAGGGAAGTATGATGGCTGCCATTGCTGATCTACCTTTGAACCACAGACTACAGATCAAGCATGCCTTGGAGGTAGCCCCATCCTCCTTAAAGTGGCTCAGTCCCGAGGGAAGTATGATGGCTGTCATTGCTGGTCTACTTTTGAATCACAGACTACAGAACAAGCATGTCTTGGTGGTAGCCTAATCCTCCTTAAAGTGGCTCAGTCAATTACTTTTGGTAAGAATATACACCATATTGCAAAAAGTATTGGGACACCCCTCCAAATAATTGGATTCAGGTGTTCCCATCACCTCCGTGGCCACAGGTGTATAAAATCGCGCACCTCGGCATGCAGACACTTCTACAAACATTTGTGAAAGAATGGGTCGCTCTCAGGAGCTCAGTGACTACAAGCGTGGTACCGTGATAGGTTGTCACCTGTGTAATAAGCCCATCCGTGACATTTCCTTGTATCCCGACAGTTATGTCTGGATCCGCCCAGCTGCGTGAGTGACAGCTGGCTCTGCCTATCTAGAGGCAGAGCCAGCTGTACCCGCCCCCTCGCCCGTCCGTTACGCCAGTCAGCGCTGGAGGATATGACCGGGGAGGGGGGAATCCAGTCCCTCCCCTGTCACGGCTCTCTGCCATGACAGGTTCGACAAGTGAGCGAACGCCATTATGTGTTCCCTCACTTCCCGATCTACTGAGCCGACCTGTGACAGTTTCATTGTCACAGGTCGGCTAGAACTATGAGGTGAGTGAAAAGCTCTCACCTCATAGTTCTTTAAGGCCTCAGCACACCAAGACATTTTGGACAATTTCATGCTCCCAACTTTGTGGGAACAGTTTGGGGATGGCCCCTTCCTGTTCCAACATGACTGCGCACCAGTGCACAAAGCAAGCTCCATAAAGACATGGATGGGGGAGTTTGGGGTGGAGGAACTTGACTGGCCTGCACAGAGCCCTGACCTCAACCCCATAGAACACCTTTGTTATGAATTAGAGCGGAGACTGCAAGCCCGGCCTTCTCCTCCAACATCAGCACCTGACCTCACAAATGGTCCAACATTCCCATAGACACACCCCTAAACCTTGTGGACGCCTTCCCAGAAGAGTTGAAGCTGTTATAGCGGCAAAGGGCGGAGCCAACTCAATACTGAACCCTACGGACTAAAGGTGGCCATACACCTGCCGATTATCGTACGATAAGCGCGGGAAATCCCGCGATCGTACGATAATCGGCAGGTGTATGTAAGGCGTGCGACCGTTTCTACTGTACGGTTGCATGTCTTTTGTCTTATGTGCATTTTTGAAGACGAGCCGAAAAAAAAGATTTTCGGCGGGTTTGTGGCGTGCTCGGAAGACAATTGTACACTGCCCGCTCAGCATTGCAGTCATCGGAATCCCTCCCCTCAGGGGGGCGGGCTTGCGATGATCGCAAGTACAATCTGCCTGTCCAAGATGGGCAGATCGTACAAGCTTTTAATTAGCTTACAACCATCGCAAGACAAAAGTCTTGCGATGGTTGTAAAGTGTATGGCCAGCTTTAGACTGAGATGCCATTAAAGTTCATGTGTGTGTAAAGGAAGGCATCCCAATACTATTGGCAATATAGTATATTATTATTATTATTATACAGGATTTATATAGCGCCAACAGTTTGCGCAGCGCTTTACAATATAAGGAAGACATTACAGTCACAATACAAGACAAGATGGTAAGGAGGGCTTATATGAAGGTTTATAATCTAAAAGTGTATTCTTATTTACAAGCACAGTAGAGGTTTGAGTGATATTTATTACGCCTCATATATGGACACTGGGGGATGTAAAAGGCCCAGAGGGATTTGGCCCTGTCTGTCCAAATAGAACCAGCTGGCAGCCATACAATTCACTATACAGCTCCACTGCAACCAGCAAAACAAGCTCTCCCGTCCTCCATTACCATAGTAAAGAACCAGCATATGCCTAGAGAGGGAGCTACTATCTGTCCACTTTCCACTCTATTACTTTTTTTTTTCTTTCTTCTCAATGCACTTTATTTGTAACGTTCACAGATACCAGTCTGAAAGTACGGCGGCCGCGGAGAGCCAAGCTTCATGAGTCATGGCGGCGCACCTGAAGAAACGCGTTTATGAAGAATTCACCAAAGTGGTGCAAGTGAGTGAATGTGTGCAGCAGGGAGACGAGGGGTGGAGGGGGCTCTTATATGGCCTGCGCTGAATGTCTCATTGGAGCCGTGCGTATCGTCCTTTCCAGGCAGGCGGTACTGTAAGCCGGTCGCCTTGTCAGGAAACACCGGGGATCTGGTTGAGGCCTACTGGTGCACAGTGGTTATTGGTGGAGGAAGGTGGCACTACAAGTCCCTGAATACCGAAGCCAATGTAATTAGAGGCTTTCTATTGTTGTCACTAGTAAGTCTGCCCCCTTCTCCACCTAAAAGTGACACTTTAGATATAGATGGCTAGTTGGGGGAGTGGGGGTACAACTTGTTTCCTTACACTTCCATGGGACTTCATCTGTGAGATATTTTCCACCATAGTTCATGCCCAGTTGGGAGTCTCACTCCTCACGTTCCATTCTCCATAGCTTCCATGGCTGATTTGCCTTTATGGTGCTTGATTAGTGACCCAGTCCCTAGTTAGTCCTCCCCCACCCAGAGGAGCCCTGAACACGATCCCTGTGTAAGCTCTGTGAGCTTACACAAGGTGAATGGGCGCCTCCCTTTCCCCCATGTGACAGTGTTTGGATTTGGTGATTGGCCGCTCAGGCCTGAGCACTGCATTCTGGGACAGGAAGGGGAGGAGGTCACATGATACCAATATCTGGCAGCAAAGGTATCTCCCACAGAGAGTGGTGACAGACAAGGATTGTTCCCTCCCGTCTCTGTTCCTCCAGTGCTCATTGGAGGGACGGACGGACAGGGCAGGGGGCGGGCACAGATGGCTCTGGCTCTAGAGAGGCAGAGTCAGCTGTCAATCAGGCAGCGGGGTGGATCCGGACAATATTGTTGGGAACCTTCCCAGCTTGATCTCGGCTCTGTTAGTGCCCGCTTTATGCTGAGTTTGGGTCTCCGGAATACATTAGTTAATATCCTCCTCTGGCCCTAAAGAGGTCTAAAGCCAACAAAAGGTTTGGCCATAGTTCTCCTTTTATTAGCAGATCAAAGGAGTGACCTGTGATCTGCATACGATGTTCCTAAACGTGACCTCACAAGTCTCCCTGCAGCTGCTCTTTGCTGGCTTACCATGCCTTGTTCTGCACTGTGTCTCTGTGTGGAGGCGGCCATCTTGGTAGAGGCAGGGATTTGCTTCCTCAGAACTGTCCCCGTGATGATTGATGGAGGGATAACCACCGAGTTAATGAAGCAGGGAGATCCTTGCACGGCAGGTCTGCAGGTACAGCTTCCTCTCCAGCAAGGAGAACGGTGAGCAGCACAGTAGTGACATCGCCAAATCTCCTGACACTAGCTAAGGCAACAGTGCCTTAGATCTCATACAGCTATGAGGCTGTAGGTACAGGAGTGCCTAGGCAGCCCCACATACCAGGACACGCACTGTTAATTTTCAGGAGGAATCCCAGACAACAGACTTTGAAGGGAACTTATCAAAACTGGAGCAGACAGAATCTGGAGCACATGTGCATGACAACCAATCAGCTTCTCTCTCTCGTTTTAAAATCCTAAGTGAACAAACTGAAGAGAGAAGCTGATTGGTTGTCATGCACAGCTGCTCCAGATGTTGTCTGCTCCAGTTCTGATAAATTCCCCCCTTTGCGTTCAGGTCCACTTTAAGTTGTACTTTCCTCTTTAATAAAGTGGAAGAAGGAGGAGGTGCAGATAGACGTTACAATCTCTCCTCGTCCAATTACAGTATGCCTTACATTTATGAAAACAATTTGGGATGCAACGATACTGTTTTTTTGGTATCGAGTACTGACAATTTTTTTTTCCGGTATTCTCCGATACCAGAAGTCCCATTAAAAGAGAACTATGGGGTAAGTGTTTTTCCTCATAGTTCTCTTTAGGGTCACAGCAGGACATATACTAACCTCCTCCCGTGACCCAAAGCTCAGTATACGGCGGGCTATTGCTTGCTATATACTGAGAGCGCCGCAGCCGGGACAGATCCCAACCTTACTGTCTGGATCCACCCAGCTGGCTGATTGACAGCGGGCTCTGCCTATTTGAGGCAGAGCCAGTTGTGCCCGCCCCCTCCCCCGTCCGTTCCGCCAGTCAGCGCTGAAGGATCGGAGGGGGAATCCCTGTGGGGAACGGAGACTGACAGTCACGGCTCTCTGCAGTGACAGGATCGAGAAGTGAGCGAGCGACGGTATGTGTTCGCTCACTTCCCGATCTATTGAGCCGACGTGTGACAGTTTCATTGTCACAGGTCGGCTCTAAATATGAGGATGAGTGAAAATCACTCACCTCATAGTTCTCCTTTAAGGAAGCCGAGCAGCGTGTAATGGCTCGCCGCCCGTCTTCCTGATTAGCCGGGGAGCCGTCTCCATCTTCCCTCGTCACCAGGTGACGAGAAAGCATGGAGACGGCTTTCTGGCCAATCAGGAAGCCAGGGGGCGGATAATGACTTACCGCAAGACTTCCTGACTAGCCGGGTGGCGAGTCATTACCCACCCGCTGGCTTCCTGATTGGCCAGAAAGCCAGCTTCATGCTCCCTGGTGATGAGGCCAATCAGAAAGCCGGGTAGCGTGTATTGACTTACTGCCCGGCTTCCTGATACGGGACGTTCGTGTATCGGGAGCATTTTACACAACATAACAACTGCCACACATTATTATTTATTACACGTACTTTTATAGCGCCAACACTTTACTCAGCACTTTGCATACTTCACATTCCCTTCAGTCCCTACCCTCAAGGAGCTTACAATCTAAGGTCCCTATCTCACAAGCACACGGGGCCAATTTAGATTAACCTTCCAGCATGTCTTTGGAGTGGGTGAGGAAGCCCACGCAAGCACACAGAGAACATGCAAACCCCTTGCCGATAGTGTCCTGACTGGGATTTGAACCGGGGACCCCCAGTGCTGCAAGAAAAGCCACTGTGCTTCAATATTCAATAAGTTTTTGTCCGGAGTTCAGCTTCAACGCTCTATAATGTAAGAGTTTATTAAAAGACATAACCAGACGCCGTTCTTATCGCCTTTTCGCACAGCTGCAGCCTCTTGAGGACCTCTCGGCAAAGAAGCTCCGGCTGACCAAACCCAGCAAGTCTGCCGCGCTGCACCTTGACCTGTGTAAGGCCACCTCGCCGGCTGACGCCCTGCAGTACCTCCTGCAATTTGCACGCAAACCCGTGGAGGCGGAGAGCGTGGAAGGAGTGGTGCGGATCCTGCTGGAGCATTACTATAAGGTAAGGGGGGATCCGTAGAAAGAGCTTTCCTTTTTCTTTTCCCAGGCACAGCTAAATCTCTGCGGTTTGCTTTGTAGGAGAACGAAACGGCCGTGCGGCTGAAGATTGCGTCGCTGCTGGGCTTGTTATCCAGGACCGCGGGATTTTGTCCAGACTCCATCGTGGATGATGTGATCAGTTCTCTCCAGAATGAAAGTAAGAGAAAGCCCAGCACTGCTCATTCCTTTATTACACATCAGGGCTGTCAGGTAGGGAAGACGTTCAAGGAATTCTCCATCCTTGCTCCTGTTTTTCATAGTCCTTCAGAATGAACCTATGATTCCAGCCATTAGCAAAGATCCCCCAGACCTGGCGCAGACCCTACTTTATTCAGAACTCAAAACATGTTTTGGGTGGAATTCTGCCATCAAACAAACTTTCTCACAAGCTAGAGCAATTGGGGTGTGCGTCCATAAGGCACTTTATACCCGAGAAGCTCTAATGGGACTGTAGATCACCTCTAAAGTGCAGCTTACAATGAACAGACAACATATAATAATATGTTTATTAAATATATGCATGTAATAAGCTCTTACACCCGTACAGAGGAGAGCAATATATATGGTGATCAGGTCAATCAGGGGGGCAGTACCTTTTCAAGAGCAATATGGTAATTAATCGCTGGCCAGAATGAGCGAAGCGCACTTTCACTATGGATTCCTCACAGGCGGAGTGCATTTGGTATCACTCCGCCTGTGACAGGAGCCGGCGCTATAGAGGAGGCATCGGCTTATGCGGCTCTGCTCCCTCCGCTGCCGCCTCGCTTCCTCTAGCGCTGGCTTCGTTGGCACCGCTGATTCTCTCCCGCGGCTCTTCAAGTTCCCCCTTATACCACCACCGGCCCTGGGAATGGTCACAACTAGGTCTTATTTTCGGGGTAGGTCTTATATTTTAGCAATTCCCATAAATAGTACTAGGTCTTATTTTCAGGGAAACAGGGTATTAACGCATTATAATTTTTTTGGGGGGGAGGGAACAAGACCATGTATTTTTTTTTACAGGTATTTATATAGCGCCAACACGTTGCACACCGCACATTCCCATCAGCCTCCGCCCTAAAGGAGCTTGCAATTCAAGGTCCCTATCTCACATGCACACATACAGGGCCAATTTAGACAGGAGACAATTAACCTTCCAGCATGTCTTTGGAGTGTGGGAGGAAGCCCATGCAAGCACACAGAGAACATGCAAACCCCTTGCCGATAGTGTCCTGACCAGGATTTGAACCGGGGACCCCAGTGCTGCAAGGTCTTATTTTCGGGGTAGGTCTTATTTTCAGGGAAACAGGGTATTAACACATTATAATTTTTTTTTTTGGGGGGGGGGGG